GCCGCACAGTGGCGCCCCGGAAACGCCAGGGGCGAATTGTGGCCAAAGTTCGGGAACTGTGCCTGGAACATGGAAAAGGTATCGAGGTCGTCCTACAAGAGCCGCGTCGGCCCCTCGCCCTCGAGCGCCCTCGCTCCTCGCCCTCGCCCCTCGAGCGCCCTCGCCCTCGCCCACTCGCCCTCGCCCCTCGAGCGCCCTCGAGCGGCCCCTCGCCCTCGAGCGGCCCCTCGCCCCTCGCCCTCGAGCGCCCTCGAGCGCCCTCGCCCCTCGAGCGCCCTCGCCCCTCGAGAGCCGCGTCGGCCCCTCGCCCTCGGAGCGCCGACCCTCGAGAGCGGAGAGAGCGGGCGGGCCCCCCCCCCCCCCCAGGAACGGCCCTGAGCGGGCCGCGGGCCGCGGGCGCGGGCGGCTCCCGCGGGGGACGGCCCGCGCGGGCGGGCCCGAAGTTCTCCCGTCGCTCCCTCGGAGCCGTGCGGGTTTACTGGGGGGGGGGCGACACAGTACAGGGCAGTTTTCATACATGGGATGTTTTTTGAATATGGGATTTTTAAATACATGACTCATGCATGACTAAACTTGTGTGCATGAGCTCGTCGCTGTGTTTAATGCTAAACCCCTGCATTCTTTAATACGTGACCGCACGCGGAGCATGTGTTAAAAACGGCACTGTAGGGGCTCGACCACAAGAAGCCTCCCACAGGAAACCCGGCCCTGGGATCCCAGGAGGCCCATGGATGTTCTGGTGTGGCAACGTCGCGCTTTTTTATAGCAGAACCATGCAGAACCATCGAGAACCAAGAAACCCAGGGCACCCTGGAGGCAAGCAGGGTGTTTCTTGGCATGGGCGTCCACTGCAAGTGGTGTCGGGGGGGGAAGAGCAAGGTATCCTTCTTGGGCCCGGACGGGGGCCCCTTTCGGGCCCTCGCTTCTGCAGCCCTCGCTGCCCCCCCCCCCAATGTCGTGCCCCCCAATAACGCTTCGGTCGGGCATGCCCCGCTATACGGGCGGATCTTGAGAGACAAATTCAACTTTGTCCAATACTAACCAACAGTGGTCAAAAGTACCAGAACCATCGCCCCCATACCATTTCTGGACTCTTCTGGGATACTCTCCACCCGTCCACCTGCAGAAGGATAGGGGAACAAGAACCATGCACATACACCGATTCTGGCCAGGCCCATCCTGAGCCCAGGATCGGTGCATACGCCCTCCGACCTTGGCCAGGAAGGCATATGCACCGATCGTGGGTCAAGCATGGGCCTTGCCAGGATCGGTGCATGTGCATAGTTCTCTTCGCCCGAAAGCGCATGCCCGACTTACCACTGCGCGTCCTCCGAGGGAGCGGGGAGCTCCGGGAAGGGAGAGGGGGGGGGGGGGGCGGGGGCGTGGGCAGGCACGGAGAGCCGCAGTGGGGCACGGGCGGGCGGCCTCCTCCCGCTCCTCCCCCCCCCTCCTGCCTGCTCCTCCTCCCCCCCCCCCCCCTCGGTGGCAACTCACGAGGGCCTCCCCTACCATCTTGTCGGCTCGTGCGCATCGGCGCTCGCCGACGCCCCTATCGACGACACTCGACGATCATCGGCGCTTCGTCGACGCTCACCGACGCCAGATCGGCGCTACCTCATCGGCTCCAGACGCTGATCGACGCCTAACCGACGCTGAAGACGGAATCAAGGGGGCATACCAGGCTCCAATGACTTGCCACCGAACCCTCCCGCCTGCCGACACAGGTTGGGGGTTGCTAAAGGTGTCCCTGGCAGAAGGTGCCCCCAGCTGTTCGCTCGAATTTGGAGCCCGTGCGCCTCCTCGGCCTCGTGAGGGGTGCTCTGGAGGCGAAGGGAGCCTCCTTGGAAATACTGGGGGCACCTTGGGCCATGGGCACTTCTAGCCACACCCGAACAGGACGACGACCGCCACCACGGCGACGACACGCGAGGCAGCCGCGCGCCGGCGGGGGGGGGGCGTGGCGCCTCCCGCTGTCGGGCCCCAGCTCGGCCCTGCCGGCCCCCTGGGCAGGCGGCCGGCAACGATTAGCAGCCACCGGCGCTGGCCCAAGGTCGGGGCAGGACTCGAGCGGAGCAGTTGTTCCCGCTCTCGTTGTGTGTGTGTGTGTGTGTGTGTGTGTGTGTGTGTGTGTGTGTGTGTGTGTGTGTGTGTGTGTGTGTGTGTGTGTGTGTGTGTGTGTGTGTGTGTGTGTGTGTGTGTGTGTGTGTGTGTGTGTGTGTGTGTGTGTGTGTGTGTGTGTGTGTGTGTGTGTGTGTGTGCGTGCGTGCGTGCGTGCGTGTGTGTGCGTGCGTGCGTGCGTGCGTGCGTGCGTGCGTGCGTGCGTGCGTGCGTGCGTGAATTGTGTGTGTGTGTGTGTGTGTGCGTGCGTGCGTGCGTGCGTGCGTGCGTGCGTGCGTGCGTGCGTGCGTGCGTGCGTGTGTGTGTGTGTGTGTGTGTTCGCTCTCTGTCCTTCGTTCTACAGTCGGGGCGTTGACCTAAGGAACTATAAATAAGGAACGAAGCCCCTTTTTTTACCCCAAGGAATAACGCATAAGGAACGATGAATAATCCATAACGCATGAAGAGCTGTAAATAACGCATGTGAAACCTAAGGAACGACCGAGTCCCTTTTGAAAAGTAAGTGTTCCTTACTCAAGCCGCTCACTGTACCTCATGCCTGCCTCTGCCGCGGAACGAGACCCAAACGGACACGGCCCACGGGATCGCCAGGCCACCGTGGAGCTCGAGCCCTGGATCGGGCGGGGGGGGGGGGGGCGGCGTGCGCAAGGGGGCGGCGCGAGGGGCTTTTGCAAGAGGGCGGGGGCCCTCTCGGAAGGCAGGCGCCCTCGCAGAAGGCCCCAGTGGGGCTCCCCAGAAGGCTTCCCCAGGCTCGCAGAGCAACTGCTCGCCGAGTGACTGCTCGTAAAGGAACTGCCCCACGAGCGCTCTCCACGACTCGCAGAGGAACTACTCGCAAATGGCCTGGATCAGCCGCGGGGGATCCACGACCCACCATATCGAGGCAAGCGTATGCATGTGTGTGTGTGTGTTTGTGTGTTTGTGTGTTTGTGTGTTTGTGTGTTTGTGCGTTTGTGTGTTTGTGTGCTTGTGTGTTTGTGTGCTTGTGTGTTTGTGTGTTTGTGTGTTTGTGTGTTTGTGTGTTTGTGTGTTTGTGCGTGCGTGTGCGTGTGCGTGCGTGCGTGCGTGCGTGTGTGTGTGTGTGTATGTGTGCGTGCGTGTGTGTGTGTGTGTGCTCTGGACGTTTCTGCGAGTAGGCACCTTGCGAGTGGTGGAGCGCGCTCGGTGATCAGAGAGCTTCGCAGAGGGGGCCCCCGACCTGCTCACGAGCCCTGCAGGCTTCTCCGACGGCCGCCCCCCTCGCGCGCCTGCCCTGGCGCGCGCCGCCACATCGGTGAGTACACCACCACCCCTCGCCGCGCCCACACGGCGTGCGCATCGATCGTGGGCCCGCGTTTGGCCCGGCCAGGGGCGGGCGTCGGTGTGCCCCGCACTCCGACGGGCGAGGCCTGGGGTGGCGCACAGGCGGGCCCTCCAGGCAGCCCCCCAGCCGGCCTCAGCCGGCCCCCCCCCGGGTCGCCCCCGCTGGCCTCGACAGGCCCCCCCGAGCGCAGTGGGGGCCAGTCCACGAGATACCTTCCACGAGACACCCCAGCCCTGAGACCCCAGGACGTCCATGGGCTTTTTGGTGCGGCAACGTCACGCTTCCCATAGCAGAACCATCGAAAACCCAAGAAGCTCAGGGCACCCTAGAGGCAAGCGGGGTGTTTCTTGGCATGGGCCTCCACTGTAAGCCCGGGGCAGTCTCAACGCCTCAACCCTGGGGCGCGGAGCGCCCCAGGGGCTATGCGGGGGGGCCTGTTGAGGGAAGCGTGGGGCGCTGTGGAGGCCAGCTGGGCCTACCCGAGGAGGCTGTTTCTGCGCGACCCGCAGCCTTACCAGACAGCGACACGAAGATTCTCGCGGCAGGCGCCCTCGACCCCAGCTCCCTGCAGGATTTCGGACATCGAGCCAGAGATCCGTCCCAACGTTAGGTCGGGCATGTCATCCTACAGGAGGATTTGTGAAAACAAGCGAAAACTAATGAACAACAAGAACTGCCAATTAATCAGAAATGGTCCAAACATCGTAAGCAGACTATGTTTTGTTTGTTGTTTCTTTTTTTCATTCCTCCTATAGACGAACATGCCTTCCTGTATCCTTACGAACATAGACGAAACATAATGAACAACAAACTCCCAATTAATCAGAAATTGTCCACACATCGTAAGCATACTACTCCTATAGACGAGCATGCCTTCCTGAATCCGAACGAGGACCCCTGCAGGGGGCCCGAAGGACTCCGCAGAAAACCACCGGTGTGGCGCGAGTTTCCCACGCCACCCCCGATCCGAGGCCCCTCCGCGAGCCTGCCTCTGAGGCCCCCATGGCGCCTCCCCGTGGTGTCTGCCTGCCCGCAGAGGCCCAAGGAGAAGATCAGGACGCTCCCTGGCAAGCGGTCATCCGTGCTCCTATCTTTAACGGGCGAAGAACGGTATAAAATAAGCTTTTTTCGCCGTCGGGGGCACCTGCCCCTGGGCGGCTGGAAAGTTTATACCCTTACGGTGGCACCGTTGGGGTATAAACTTTCCAGCCGCCCAGGGGCAGGTGTCCCCAACGGCGAAAAAGTTTACTTTATACCGTTCTTCGCTCGCTGATATCTGTCGGGAAAGAAAAAACGCCCAAAACAGAAACTTCTGGCGCTCCGCGCGGATGTCTTGGATCCGCGCTGGGCCCCCCTGGCGGCGCCTCCGGCGCCGCCCCTGACGCACTCCGCGCGCCAGGGGGGGGCGTTCAGCGCAGAACCAAGAATTCCGCGCGGAGCGCCAATAGTTTATGTTTCTACGTTTTTTCTTCTTCGACTTTTCTTACGCACGGCGCCGAGACTCGCGAGCGCACTCAGAGATATCTGCGACAAGCAAGACAGGCCCGACGGCAGGTCCGTGCCGTGCCGGCTTCGGCGGTGGCTTCTGACACCACGGGTGTGGTTCGACCTTGAAGGATCGGCCGTTTCCGAAACGTCAGGTCGTTCAAAACGACCGATTCTGGGTCGCCGGAGGCGTTCAACGTTGAACGGTGGCAGCGGGGTCGCCGCCAGGCGACACGTTAAGAACCTACCGTAGGCAAGAGTGGCCTCCGGTGCGGGGATTCAAGGGGTCGCGCGCGGAAGAGGAGGGGGGGGAAGCACCAGCGCGCAGGCCGCTGCTATCGCCACGCACCTGGAGGCCACTCTGGCGAATGGCCTCTCTCACTGGGAAAACCTAAAAAGGCCTCCTCCTCCTCCTCCTCCTCCTCGCCCCTCCTCGCTCCTCCTCCCTCCTCCTCCTCCTCCTCCTCCTCCTCCTCCCCTCCTCCTCCTCCTCCTCCTCCTCCTCCTCCTCGTCCTCCTCCTCCTCCTCCTCCTCCTCCTCCTGCTCCTCCTCCTCCTCCTCCACGCCTTTGGTGTTCGGGCCAGAGCTCGGGCCTCCAGCGGCCATTCGGGGCGATCCGGGCACCCCCGGAACGGTCTCGACGAGGCACCGCTGGTGGACCCCCCCCCCGGCGTCGAGAACCACCGAGGACCGACCGATCGCGTGCTCCTGGTTGGCCCGAGCGCGTTGTGCGTCCGCCCTCGCCGCTGAGCAAGAACAAACGTGGCGGCGCGCACAAGAGGGGGTACAGTCGGGGCGTTGGCCTAAGGAACCCTACATAAGGAACGAGGCCCCTTTTTTCCATAAGTTGAGCTTCGACTTCGTATCGAAAACCTAAGGAAAATCCAAGGCCAGCTGCGAAACAATCAGGGAACGCGGAGCCCCTCCCCAACCAAAAGGGTTCCTTCTTCAGGGCCCCGACTGTGGGGGGAGGGGGGAAGACTTCTTAGAAGGCGGCTGCTTCTGAGGAGGCGCGGGCCTCACATCTGCAGGCAGGGCCCGCGCCTTCTAAGAAGCATGGGGTGCTTCTGAGAAGCCTCTTCCCCCCCCCTCCCCCATACGGCAGGTTCGTGTCGTGCCGACCCCAGCGTTGGTTTTTGACACCGCAGGGATCGTTCAATCTTGAACGATCGGCCGCTGCCGCAACGTCCGATCATTCAACATCGATCGATTCTGGGTCGCCAGCGGCGTTCAACCTTGAACGCCCGCGCTGGGGTCGCCGCTGGTCGACACGACGCAAACCTACCGTAAGTCCCCTGCGCACGTGGCCGACGAACATCGTCGTTGCCCCCCCCCGACCTGGAGGCTCTTGCCAGCCCTCGCCGCCGCGGCCCTCGCGCCCTCGGTGCCGCGGGCGGCGCCGCCCTGGGGCAGCAGCGGCGGCGCACCCTGGCCATTGCCTGAGGGGGGGGGGATGTGCGGACGGCGGCGACGATGACGACGACCTGCTCCTCCCTCCTCCTCCTCCCTCCTCCTCCATCCTCCTCCTACCTCCTCCTACTCTCTCCTCCCTCCCCTCCTTCTACTCTCTCCCCCCCTCCCCCTCCCCCCCTCTCCTCCTCCTCTCCTCCTCCTCCCTCCTCCTCCTCCTCCTCTCCTCCTTCCCTCCTCCTCCTCCTCTTTTTCCTCCTCCTCTTTTTCCTCCTCCTCCTCCTCCTCCTCTTTTTCCCTCCTCCTCTTTTTCCTCCTCCTCCTCCTCCTCCTCCTACTCTCTCCTCCCTCCTCCTCCTCCTCCTCCTCCTCCTCCTCCTCATCCTCCTTCCTCCTCCCCTCCCTCCTCCTCTCCTCCTCCTCCTCCTCCTCCTCTCCACCCCCCAGTTGGGTCACCCGGCCCTCCTCCTCCTCATCCTCCTCCTCCATCTTCCTCCTCCTTCTCCCCATCAAGCTTCCCCAATCTTCTTGCGACGACGAGGAGGTCATGCGCCCTGGCCTGTGCCTGGGAGGAGGATGAAGCGGCGGCGACAACGACAAACAGAAAGACTTGGAATGAGCCACTTGGTGGTTAGTTCGTATAGTGCGATGGTGGTTATGGCTGTCTGCTTGCGCAGTCAGAGACTACCCAAACAAGCCGAACCACCACTCCGTAATGTTCATGGTTGTTGGCCTGCTACGCAGGCGGTCCACGACACCCGCCCCGTTAACTACCATTCGGAGCTATATTGTGGTCGCTTAGGAACTTTAGGCTCATATGTTTCAGGTTGTTTTTGCACACTGGCTCAACCACCAACGCCCCAGCCACCATTTCGGGATTTCGAACAGAGAAACACCAAATATCGGGCAGCGCCCAGCCCTGCGCGGGACATGGGTGGATAGCACCGCACTGCTATAGAGTGGCATTTCCTAAAAAGTCTACACGCAGAAACTCCCCGTGAGGTTTATCCATAGCTGTTCATTGCAAGCGTGAGGAATCCAGTCTCCATCAGGGGTGCCGCGTCCAACTGCACATAGGAGATTGATCATGTCATCCCTCTCTTCGCTTGCGAGGTCTTCCTGGCACTCTCCCCAGGGCGACGACGACGAGGGAGAAGCACTGAGCCCCCCTGCTGATGCGAGG